ATCAAGTATGGAATTTGTTATGTCTCATTGATTAATATGGAAAGCTTTTCGCATTATGCATTTGTTGTTCTTTGTTCCTCTTTGCTTCTGGCATATTACAGTATATATGTGGCATAACGTTATATTGTATCTATTATTGAACTCACTAAGCGTCACCGCTTACCCCTCTCAATGTTTAACTAATTTGCAGGAGATAAACACCCAGTATAGTGATATACTGGTAGAAGATTTTAGAATAGTTTGTAATAGTACTTTTGTACTTTAGTTATGTTTGTATAAAATTACAATATCCTTGGTAGTTATGTAAAATCTTAAAACATAGTCGGTTTGTATCCTGTCCTTTGTAATCACTTTATCAATGTAAAATACTATTTTATGAATATGCATGTAGCATGTTTTGGAATAACTATATTGTCAAGTATGAAATGGGTTCTTTCAAGTTTTTTCCTTGATTTACTTGTGACCTTGAAATCATAGGTGGTTAGTTGCTTAATTGCTTTGAAGGCTCTATCTCTGGTAAGATAGTAGTGAGATAGTATGCTTTCAGTTTCCCATATAATAATTTTGTGAAAATGTAATGTCTTTATCATTGTCGAAAAGGTTTTGTTTCTGATACCAAATACGAATTCCAGCTTACTGAGATAAACGTTTTGAAATTCAACTAAATTGATATAAACCTACAAATCATGTGTGAGTTAGGTGAAATGGATTCTTTTTTAAGATTAGGTGAAAAAGAAATCGAAGCATAAAAAACATAAAGGATTCAGAATTATCGTTTGATTAGTTGCAGAAACCAACAGAGTTGATATAGCATAAGGGTTCTTCAACCTTTTGCTACAAAAATATCACCTACAGAAAACAACCGATTAAAAAACAAAATTTAACTATTTTAAAAGTACATATGCTTAATTTAAGTTTCTAAAAATGATTTTACATTACGCTTTACAAAAATCTTAAAGTTTGCCTTCATTTAATCCACTTTTAAAAATTTTACAAATTCATCCTCAAATTTTTACTCTTATTTCATTTTTTTATTTATTATTTGTGTAAGTTTTTTATTATTATATAATGAAAATCGATAATCATTCATATGGTCAATTGGAAGTCGATGAGTATTTATACGAGTTAAGTAGAAAAAGAAAAATGTAACCACTATATTAGCTTTATCTGAACCACGTCATCTTCTATGATATAAGTTCCATATGTTCCAGATCATAATTCTCTTAGATGTTTGAATATAATATTCTTTATTATCTTTATCTTTATTCCTTATTATGCAAATTTGGTCAGAGGTTGAATTTTAAGAGTTACAAGTCTTTACTACATTATATACAATGAATTTATGCATTAATAAACTTATTTGGTCAACAATAGATAAATCTAACTACACGCATAAAAAATGATAAAATTAACCACGTTTTAGAGAAAATTAAGGATAGTCAAAGTTAGATTAGACCATAGTAGAATCGGTCAAATTGAGGATCAGAATAAATTTGAAAAATCCTTTTATGTCGCCTGCCTCTAAATATCTCCCTTATCAACGAATTCTAGAACTCCATTCACCCTCCTCCACGACCACCTTCACTACTATCTTACTTCATCTAACCACCGTTCACCTTCACCAACCCATCTCCTTAAAAGACAGATGAAACCCACAACAACACCTCCACCTTAATATCTCCTCTCATGCACTACTTCCTCGATCGTAAGCATCGTCGCCACCAACTGTCGGCTTCACCATCTTCTCTATCGTCCACCCCCTTCACTTGATCTGTCAACAAAAATAACCATAAAACCCTAGATTCTCCACGTTTCTTTGTCTCTCTAACATCCACCACTACCGTAAAGTTATGAAGGCGGATCTGTCAAGTCCAGGTACTATCACACCATCGAAGCCATCACCTCCTTCAATGTCTGTAAGTTGTTTTTTATGTTGTTTCTTTTTTCTTCAGTGAAAAACAGAATGGAGTGTCTTCATAGAGAAAACGATAAAAACAATGCAGCCACCAGCTCTTCCCAGTAATGTAAATTGAAAAAGATGAGTCAATTATAGAACCCATTCTTAAATTCTTCTAAGTAGAGACGTCTTTACAGAACCTTGACCATCTCTTTGAAGATAAATTCACTCTCCAGCAAAACCGCCACACTTCCTGGCACCACTCTGGCTCTCCCCGACCATCACCAACACCAGCTACTGTGGATGAAACATATTTCTTGATTATACGATTTGTGGGTTTATATGAAAGGAAATTGAATTTTTTTTTTATTATGAAATTACTGGAATTGTGAGGGAAATGGCTCAATTATCTGAACGTGAAAGGTCTCCCAATCTGCAGCTGAAAGGGTTTTGAGTTCAAGCTCCATTGGTGAGCCTATATCTTTGAATTTTTCTTGCTCATTGTTACTGTATAGATGGTACCCACATCAAATTATCTCAAAATCAACATCTTTTTTAAAAAAAATTATTGACATTATATGTATTAAATTTCTTGGGTTTTGATTCTACACATCATATTCAAGTAGTTTAGAAGTATACACAAATACCCAGATGTTGATTTTAGATTAATTCATGTTTTGTTTGTTTAAGTTTACATTGGTATCAAAATAGATCCAAAACAGGCGAAACATAAGGATCTCATCATCCGCCTCCTCTCTCTCTCTCTCTCATACACACACACACAATCTGGTTATAAATCACATATCCATAGTTTGGGTTATTGCTCTTAACTTTGTTTTCATTCTCTTGTGTAGGTCATATGAGTCAAAAAAGATGGGATTGAATTGTGATCACCGGACTGAACTAATCTTTGTCACTCTCTTCATCTCTCCCTCTCTGTCTCTCTCTCAAAAAGGTTTCTTATTGGTTTTCTAAATTGCTTATATGCTTACCTGCATGTTTGATTTATGACACAGGTTAGCACATGTAGATGTGTAGATGGTGGATAAAGTGTTGCTTGGTCTACAGAGAGGAATATTGATTTACAGTATTAAGTATTGCACAAGTTGATAATCGCTCTTCTCCTTAATATATTAATTGATACTTTTATCTAAATCGAATATGATCATTATTAACCATGAAAGTAGTTATTTGCTTATTTTGCAGTAGTCCCCATCTTTTACTTTTTAATCGATATATCATTAAATATGAGCAACCTCCTGTTGATTTTGTGTAAAGATAATCTTAGTAGTTTGAACTAATTCTCAATCCATTGCAGCACAGATGACTACTTATGATGAAGTTGAGGTTATTTTTCTTCTTTGCATCCTGATGATAATCATACTAATATATAAATTTTATGTTTGTGAACGTAGAAAACCTCTGTTAGGGGTGTTGGGGATATTAAATATGGTATATCATAAGCAACAATGTCAGTTCTTGGTTAGATATTAAAACATGGTATCTTATAAGAGTGACATTTTTTTATATAGGGTGAACAAATCTTTATCAAATTTAGGGGTGGCTTGGAAAGAACTCTACCATGGGAAAGCGTTACATGCTTCTTGAATATGTGCATGTTCATATACAAGAATCCCTTCAATATTACTTGTGCATGTATGCTTTTAACTGGTAGGTCATTTTCATGACATTATGGTTCTGAATAAATCCAGTCAATTGTTATAGGTCAAACTCTACCATGTGTCTTGATTATCTCTCCCATCTCCTTAAACATATGACTGGTCTTTTATGTGAATTTTGCCTACCATGTGTTTGTCAAAAGTCCCAAGTCATGTCCATGTAAACTTCTTAAAATCTTATATGATGTAAATATGCAGATGAATTTGCAGGTTGAGCATCTACCACTTTGTCACTTACACGGTTATTGTGTGATAGAGTAGTGGCTTATTTTACCAAGCGTTGTTTTTCACGATTTACTTATCTGAAACGATCGGCGACCTCTTGATGCGCCTTCTTCGTTGATGCAACAACCTCCACCTGAGGCTTCCAACCCTTTTTGGTAAAAGATATCAAAACCCACCGCCTACTACTCTTTCTTATTGCGTTTCTATTTCTATTTTGGAATTTGAATTTTTTAAATATTTTTGTTTTTAGGGTTTTGAAGAATCGTGATGGCTAAAAAGAGGTTATATTAAAAAAAAATGTTTTCGGAGGTAATAGTTTGCTTCAACCTTTTTTATTATAATGTTTGTTTGTTTCATTATCGTGCTTAAAAGTTTGAATTTCTTGAAAATAAAGGTTTTGTTGGTTAGTTTGTTGTTTAAAGCTTTTGATTTAATGTTTTTATTTCGTAAATATAGTAAATGGTGCCTAAGTTTTTTTTCAAAAATTCTTTTTTTCATAATCCATCAGACGAGCTTCTCAAAGAGGTGGAGATCTATAAACATCTTTGAATTTTGTTATTTGGAACTTACAAGATCTATCATTTTTGCATTTGGATATACAATTTTTTTGTGTTGACTTGGATATCTATTTCATATACATTCTCTAGAATGCAAACATAAAGACTACAGTTACATCATCCAAAGCCAATTTTGAAGAAGCATGTTTAGCTTCTGTTTCTTTCACGATCTCCCTCTTTCTCGATGTGTGTGTACAAATGTTATGCAGGTCTTAGTATGTATAATCATGTTTTGGGCTGCTGTTTGGTTGAGATTTAAAATGCTATGAATGAAAATGTGAGCTCAAAATCCTCAAAAAAGGAGCTAAAAGGATGAAAATCCTCTCAAGTGGATTGTTGTACTTTTCACACTTCACTAGAGAAGAAACTTTATTGTTCACCGCTACTAAAAAAATTGTAACGCCAGAAATTATAATTATAATGGTTGAGATGGATACAAAAGTTGATCTCGATGTTTTATGCGCATGTATTTTAGTTTTCTGCAACTAATGGAGCTCTTGGAATTATTTTTAAAGTAATAATAAAAAGCTAAGCATTGGTGTCCTAGGTTGAAAAAATCATATGTTCTGGATCACAATGATATGAGTGCATTAGTTTTGATGTATTTTGATATTAATTTTTGTAAATAACTAATTAGTAACAACAACAAAGGTTGGCATCAGAATGATATGAGTAACATTGAGCTTGGTTGATGTATGAGTGATTTAATACATGTCAATTTGTATGATGAACTTTATTTAACCGTGTCATTTTTTTGTCGACTTAAATTTATTGTTTGGATTAATGTTTATTTCGTGTATGCAATTTTTTGGAAATGACATAATTTGATAACTTATGGGGATGTATAATATCTTGGAAACAAATTGTAATCTAATCAATAAATTATACACCTCAAAATATCAACTAAAATTTTGCCATAAAATAAACACATAACAGCAAAATAAAAACTAAATGACAACATAATAACAAAGTGAATAACCAACATAAATCATATTATACTGGAAAAAAACGAAGATTTAATTGGGTTTGTAATCAATTAATTGCTTCTAGAAACTATTTTATGAAAAAACTATTCGCACCCGTCGCTTTGCGCGGGTAAACGACTAGTATGTATGTATGCATGTAATATGTGTATATGAGCGTGAAATATATGGTAGTACCTGGAGGCCATACATAAAAATTACCATAATTCTATATAATGCAAAAAAAAGTAGAAAAATAAAAAATAAAAAGGAGAAGACATGTTAAAGAGTTAGTCACTTCAACTTCTTTCTCCGTTTTCCTAAAATATTTCAGATCTTATCAGTGTTCTGCCAAATTATAAGTTTAGATCAAATCTCACAACTCTCCTTTTACCCTCTTTTGGAATGAAACATTGTACATTTGTGCAATTAGATTACAATACAACAAGTATTCGTTTAAGAAAAACAACGACCAACATTAGGAATATTGACTACATAAATCCTAATCATTTTCCAACTGTTAAATAAAATGTTGTTCCAAGTTTCACAAAGATGAATTGGATTGAGAAATATAAGCTTTTAGGTCCATGTTTCTTTGTAATCCTTGTTTGGTGTGCAATTGAGATGAAGATTATGTGAAAATGTAAACATACAAAAATATGATACCTGTAATTTGATGGCGACACGCCTCAATTACTTAATAACGAAGACATGTACATCAAAATTTCATCAATGTATAAATATATCAGATCCAAGTTTATTATTTTCAAATGAAAGAATGCTATCTCCACACCCATATATGGAACTTGAATTTGTTCCCGCTGCTGCTTCCTGGTCAAATTGAATATTTGACCATTCAAAATTCTCACAAGCAAAACAATGAACACCTTGTGGGCATTAAATATACTCTATACCTTGTTAAACATAAAACATAACTGTAATGAAAGAGGAGTATGGACGTGAACTGTAGCTTTTTGCTAACAATTTTCGCAAAGCATTTAGGTAAAGAAGAACCCAACTTCGAAAATAAATCAAAACCAAACCAAATAAAGAGAAACAACTGCACCTTTGAACATATTTTAGTATTTCAATCTGCAAAGGGATGTCAAAAAAAAGATCTTGAGAATCACATAAACAAACAAAAACAGGAAAATACTACTGGCCATCTCCAACAGGAAAGTGGCTGGCAAGCACAATTAATAACAAAGTAATAATCATCTATCCACTCATCCCAAACCAAAAATGTTGTATTTTCACATACCAAAATACAGAATATGTATGTCAACTAAAACCCGGATGTGATGTATCGAGGATGGTAGGGAGATAGTGATTTAACATAAGTGGAGGCAGGACGAAAAGTGACAACGGACGTCGGCGGTACCAAGGATTTACAAACAAATAAAAAGAAGACAAAGAAAGAAGGTGATGAAAAGGTAAGTGACACCTTACCTAGAGTGTAACACCCCTTTTATTAAATAAATAAATAGACAAGGTAATGAATGAATAGTAGCCCTAAAATCAATAATTATATAGCAAGTTGTTGGTTTCGAGGAGATAACTGTCATAATTTAGAAGTTGGGGGTTAAAAGTGTAAGTTCCGGATTAGTTTTGTAAATATTTGTGAAGGCATGGACTACTTGGTAAATTATTAGGACTTAATTTGAAGAGATTTTGGAAGCTAAGGGGCTGAATGGTAACATATGGACTTCATTTGAGAAAAAATTGTAGAGGAGGGGCTGTTTGGTAACTGTTGGACTTAATATGAAAAGAATTATATGAGCAGGGGTGTGAAGAATAAATTATGGGCCTTGATTGAAAAGATCCTTATGGGGAGGGCCCATTCCTTTCATTATGGCAACAAGTTTAAGGGAGTCGGGTATATAACCCTCCCAAAACCCTAACCCTTATAGGATGCACAGCCGCCACCTTATGCCTCCCACCACAAGCCGCCACCCTCCTTCTTCAATCACCGGCGCCGCCACAACAGTTGGAGTCGGAAAAACCGCCACCATTCACCTAGTCGTTCTCCGTCCTCTGTTGCTGCTGCTCGAGTCACGTCCGTCACCGTCCGCCAAACCCACTCCACTGTTACATTGTTGTCGTCGTCGCCGTATAGCTCGTCGTTGTTGCTCCTGTCATCGTTTGCCATCCTGTAGAGATATCGTGTTCGTGTGTCGCTGCTCCAGCCGCCGTAAGCGTCGATGTAGCGCTGTTGTTCCGCCGCTGCCGTCCTCCGAGCCGTTGTTGTCGCCGACGACACCGGCTGTAGGCGCAGCTGTTGTCACCGTTCGTGCCCCATCGTCCACCGTATGGCGTGCGTGCTTGTGTTGATGTGTTGCTGGGCAGAGGATCAAGAGAAACCATCGCCACCACCGTGAGGTGGTGGCTGTCATCACAAACCGCCGCTTCTGCTGCCTTCCCATGATGTTGTCGTTTCCGTACGCCACCAGGTGGGTGGCAGGGTTCTTTTTGCGAACAAAAGCAGTTTGTGTGTGTTGTATGTGGTGATGTTTGGCCGGAATTCATGAGAACAGCCACCACCACCACCGTGAGGTGGTGGCTGCCACCATGAACCACCGCCGGCCACCACAAGGGTGGTTGTGTGCATGTGTTTATCTTAGTGTGTGTGTGTGTTTATTTGGGATTTTGTGTTGTATGTTGTAATCGGTGGCGGAATAATCAAAGAAAACTCATAACCACCACCGTGAGGTGGTGGCTGCCGCCACCAGCCGCCATGTTGGGTGGCGGTGTGCTTTTCCTTGTGTTAGACTGCTTTTGGGATGTTTGGACATAATTGGACTAGAACCATAACCACCACCGTGAGGTGGTGGCCGCCGCCGTGAGCCGTCGTTGACCACCACTACCCGAGGTGGTAGTGGGTGGTGCCCGACTTATTTAACCCCAGTTGACCTAATGAAATCCTAATTGATCTAAAGACTTAGCTTTTGGGCCTAATTGGGTTGTGATTGGGTTGGAAACCCTAATTAGGGTTTAGAAAACCCTAATTTTGGATATATGAGTTTTGGAGTGTCGGGACCCGCATTATGGATGACCGGATTGGGATTATGTATTAAGCCCAACCACACTGTATGATTGACCTAGTAGATTGATGGACTTAATGGATTAAGTTCTTAATGGGTTAAGTAAGAAACACTTAACCCTAATCGTCATTTTATGTGAAAACCTTAATTTTACTTGGGCTTTGAGTTGGGCCTTTCTATTGGGCTTTGGTGATTGGGCTATTAATGGGTCATCCAAGAACAATCATATGGACTAAGAATATATGGATGGGCTTTAGGGTAAGGTCCATGTGAGGGTTTGGGCCCAATTTGGAAAATTGGGCATAGATGGGCCATAACTGGGCCTTAAGGATCATGAGAAGTTGGACTATTGGAAATGCCAAATGTTTGGACTAGAATAAATGGTTGGGCCTTAAGGTAAGACCATGTAAAGGTTTGGGCCTAATTTTAAAAATTGGGCCATATGTTGGGCCTTAATTCATAGTTTGAATTTTGGGCCTTAAGTTTGAATCAAGCTAAGATGACGGTAAAGTAGTCTTTTACCCCAAACATGGACTTATGGATATATGATGGAACCCAATTACTGATTGGGTGTTATTTTGATGATTGACAGTTCGGGAATCTGTCATCCAGCAGCTAGAGTTTTGTCTGCAGGACTTCAGCAGTACGAGGTGAGTTACCTTCCAGTAGAAGTGGGTCTAAGGCCAAAATGTCGGCCCACTAGTAGGAGTTGTCTGTTAGATGATTGTCTTTGTGATAATTATCTAGTATCCCACTATCTGTATGCTTTATGTGTAGTATGATATGGTATTATGTGGTAGGGGTAGGGGTGAAATAGTCTTCAGTTACCGGTTGAAAGATACCGAGGGGGAGGCCAGCACCCAAATATGCTAGGCAGCTACCGGTTGAAAGATACTGAAGGCAGTTACCGGTTGAAAGATACCGAAGGCAGTTACCGGTTGAAAGATACGGAGGGGGAGACTAACACCCAAATATGCTAGGCAGTTACCGGTTGAAAGATACCGAAGGCAGTTACCGATTGAAAAATACCGAGGGGGAGGTCAACACCCAGATATGCTTGGCATTATGTTATTTGTATGGTGTGTGGTATGATGGGGGAACTCACTAAGCTTCGTGCTTACGGTTTTCAGTTTTGGTTTCAGGTACTTCGTTTTCAAAGGAAAGGAGTCGGCTCGATCGCAGCGCATCACACTATGTTTTCCGCACATGAGATCTTTGGGATTACACTCTGATATTGTTTTATGATAACATGTTATGATTATTGACACTTTGTTCTTGACAAGTGATGTTATTATGGATATTTTTATACTATTGGTTTAATGAATTATTAAACTAAAAACGAAATTTTTGGTCCTAAATTTTGGGATGTTACATAGAGCAGGTGGCGATGACTTCAATTTGAAGAAAGATGGTTCGAGTAGTTGGAATGCCAAATCCAGATACATGACATAAAATTAAACCTGAAGCACAATCGAGGAGAGGCTATATTAAA